TGGCCTCGAGACTTGGAGCCTCGGCGACCGCGAGAAGAAGTACAACCAGGCCATCGCGGACACGCTGAAGGCCCTCAAGCCCAGTGGATCTGCGACCGAACCGGTCTCAGAGGAGTGGCGTCGCATCGCTGACCACATTTTGTGATTTTCGCGCATTCGGCGCGCGGCCGAAAGTGTGTGTTCATATAGAGTCCAGCGCCGACTGCGCCCTGGTCGCCGAGGTGGAAGCCTCGAGGTGTCCCCTACCCCGCTACGCTCCACTCCTCAACTCATCAATCCCCCCTCCAATCCTCAATCCTCAACTCCTCAATCCACAGCCCCTCGCGGGCCCGGCCGGGCTGCGGGGGGGGGCGCTCCAGGCTCGCCCGCGCGGGCGCAGCCGTCAGGGCGCCGTCCAGCCTGCCATCCAGCGGCCCGCCATCGCCGCGCCTGCCAGCAGCGCGCGCACCCCCTCAGCCTTCTCCTCAGATTCTCCTCATCCCTCCTCCTCCTCCTCCTCCTCCTCCTCCTCCTCCTCCTCCCTCGCCTTCGGTACTCGGCGGCCCGAGTCAAGAGCCAACTAGACTAGAGCCCGCAAGCGAGGCTCTCAGGCCCTCGGGATCGTGCAGCTATGCGCCCCCAGGGCGGCCTGCAGCACAGCACTACTCGCTGGATCTCGCAGGGGGGAAGGGGGGGAAGAAGCCCGATCGGGCTGAGTGGACTGGGGCTCGGGGAGGCCGAGACTAGCGACCAGCTTTTGCCAGTGCGCCTTGTGGGTTTAGGCGCAAGCTCTAGCTGTCAGTGCGCGTGCGCATGCGTGTGCCACGTGTACCCAGCGAAGTGAGATACGCGAGAACAGTGATGACTGTAAAAAACGATCTGGGACAGCTCGGAAAAGCTGGGGCCCATCCGACTCCTAGGTCACCCCCAGGGGCGCGAGGATATTTGTGCATCCGGCCTGGGCCGGCGAGCCGGGAGAGCCACCCTGCCCTTCTCGGCGCGAGGGCGCGATGCGCGAAGTTAGGTGACCTAATGCGCCCTCAACTCTCCTGGCCCGCACCGCCTGCGCGGACGGCCGCGCGCGCCGCGCGGCGGCCCTTGCAGGGGCGAGGCATGGGGCGAATCCGAAGGGGTGCGAGCGAGTCAGGAGGGGGCCGAACGATCCAGGTTGATCTCACCTGCTATCTTCACCTGAGTCGCCCCCCTGACTCGTTCGACCGCCCTTCGGAGTCGCCCGATCCCTCTTCTCGGAGGCGGGGGGTCGTGGAAGAGGAAGGGGGTCAGGAGTTGCGGGATCGAAATCCTCGATCCTCCTCTCCTTATTTATTCACCAGCCTACTCCCGCCTTCCCCATCCCCCATCCTTCTCATCCTAGCCCTCCTCCTTGCTCCCAGCGGGTCCGCCTGGCCGCAGCGGCTGGGCGGGGTGGCGGCGGCAGCCCGCCCGAGCCGTGCGGCCGAGGGGGCGAGCCAAGACAGTTGCGGTCAGCGGGGGGAGAGCGAGGCCGTCCGTCCTTCGCCTCTCTGCCACCGTCCTCCTCGGACTCCAGGTGACTCCGGGGAACAGGGCGCCCCTCCAGGAGGGGGAGGGGGGGGGGGCACCTTCTTCTGGCCACTCCCAGGGGCGCGAAGATAACCGCGCGCCGCGGCCTGGGCTGGAGAGCTGCCCTACTCCAGTGTTACCCAGGACTGCCGCGCTGGGGCGCGAAGATAATAGCGCGTCGCGCATCGCGGGGCGCGACCCGCGAGCTTCAGCCCCCATCCCCCGTCATTTTCTCAGCGCTCCGATTTCGGTGCCCCTCGAAACCCCGCCCCTGCCGCTGCAGCTGTCTGTGGTCCGAAGTCACGCCAGGAGCGCGTCGCGCAGCAATCTCTTACTCCTTGTCGTTTCGGCAATGCTCGCTCTTCGCGACATGGGGGACGCGGACGCCCCCCGCAAGACAGATCAGCAGAAGCTCGACGAGTTCTTTGAGAGGAGGGAGCGGGCTAGCATACCCCATGGGGCTTGGGGGAGAGAGCCACAACTTTACAGGTACAAGGTTGACCAGCATCGGAAGCTGGCGTGGGTTTCCACTGGGTTCCCTGGGCCGCCTTTCTCACCCAGCACAGAGTGGCCCGACTGGCTCCTTACGCACCCGCACTGCGTTGCGACTAGGAATTTGACGCACTGGGGGGCTGGTCACGACGGCGGGCCCAGGTCAATCGGGCCTCTCCCGAGAGAAAAACCGCAATGCCCTGTTACCTTGCCCCCGGCTTGCGCCCGATGCCAGACCCTGACCCCGAGTCCCCATATTATTCCTCCTTCTCCTCTGTATCCTTCTTCCTCCTGCTCCTCCTCCTCCTGCTGCTCCTCCTCCTCCTCCTCCTGCTCCTCCTCCTCCAATCCTTCTGCCTTCTGCCGTTGCCGCAACGTTGCCTGCCCCCCAACTTGGGGGCGGAGGGGGGTCGGGGTCGGGCAAAGGTGTCGGGCAGACTGGCGGGGGGCGGGGGGTTTGGGAAGGGGGGGGGTCTCAAACCCAGAGGTGCTTTCACAGCAGTCATATCTTTTGGCAGTATCGCACTGTGCTCTTCTGCCAGAATTGCGGAGAGTGGACCAAGGATACTAACAAGCGCAAGCTTGTGGATGCCTGCAAAGGATCTCGGGAACAACTTCGCTACACCCCCCCCTCGCTCCCCCTCTCCCTCTCCTGTGCCCCCTTCCCCCTCGCCTTCGACGGCCTCTTCGGTAGTGAAGTGAACCAACCCGCTGGGGGGGAGGCGGGCCCGAGGGCCCACAGACATTAAGGAGAAGGGTGGAGGGCAGGGGGGCTGGGATGAGCGGGGCGCCCCCGAGGTTGGTACGATACTGACGTCCCGAAGAAGTACCGCAAGCTCGAGGACCTGGCCCAGGGCAAATTCCCGTACCCGACGAACAAGCCCGACCCCTTCGGCTGGGACCAGCGCGTCGCTGGCCGTCGTTCGAGCATCAGCATCGGCCCGGCGGAGCGCGCGCCACCGCCACCGCCGCCGCTGCTGAGGCTGCCGCAGATCCAGATCCCTGGGTCCCCTGAGGCTGAGGAGGCTGAGGCGGCTGAGGCGCCCCCGCAGGGTCAGCAGAGCCCGCAGGGCCCGGGCCCTGTGCAGATCCGCATCCTTGTTGCCGCTGCGGACGAGTGAACCACTCAGCTTGTCGACTGAGGTTCTTTAGGTAGGTCTAGGTAGCTTGTCACCACCCACCAGACCACCCCAACCCAACCCGAAGGCTCAGATTTACATTCGATTTCCAGTTGGGGGGGGGTCGGGAAACATCGAAAAAACACGTGTGGAACCCTTATCCCCCCCAACCCGAAATTCGGGTCTTCGGGTTGGGTTGGGGTGGTCTGGTAGGTAGTCAGCTTGCACATTTGCCATTTCAGTTGGCATACAGGGGCCTCTTGCAGCCTCTTGCATCCACCACCGTCCCACTTCGCAATCTCCGATCCCCTTGCCCTCTTCCTCCTACTCCTCCCCCTCACCCCTCTCTCCCCTCCCTCCAACACGCGTCTCTCAGCCCGCGGAGTCCGCAGTCCCCCTAAGGCCCTCAGGCTACTACATCGGTCGGCTCTTTCCTTTTTTCCATCGGCCCATCGGCCCCCCAGGTAGTGTGTATACTAGTTGGTCGGAGCCCTGGCGTAGGCGCAGGTACAGTACGGGGTCTATGAGGGTCGAAACCCCCAACGGCCTGTTGTCGCGCCCAAGCGACGCGCTGGCAAGCTGCGCGGACGCCCTCAGACAGGAAAAGCTGGACCCCCAGCTCGAACTAGGGAAAACAATGATAGCAATGCTATGCTTAGCAATGCTCCCTCCCCAACTCCGTACTCACTTGCCGCCGCGGCCGCCTGCTCTCTATCCTTTCCCCTCCCCCTTCCCCCGTTTCCTCGGCCCTCAAGTGTCGAAAACCTCCTGGGCCTCAGGCCGGCCCCGATGGCCTGCTTTATGATGCGGTCGGGGGCGCATCTACGCATCGATGTTTCACAGCAAACTGTGGTTGACAGTCAACTTTATAGCTTTATATATTGATGAAACTGATAACGGCGTGCGCTCTCGACAAGCTCGTGAGTGACCATCGTTCCGCGTGCTGAGGTTGTACTGTGCGCCCTTGCAACACATAAAACGTAATCCAATCCTTGAACTTTATTCAAGAATCGCGCTCTGGCTGGGGACTTCCTCTCACTTTATTGAAGGATCGCGCTCTCGCCTGATACTTCCTTGCAATGTATTCAGGCGCGGCGCCTTCGACAATCAGAAATCGCGCTCTCGTTTTATAAGTTCTACCGTGTGCTGCGTCCGTCATTCATAAGCTGTAGTTTATTATTATAGAGTGTGTGACTACATCCCAATTGTTTCATCATATTAGAATATCACATTCCAACTCCAGCGGCCTTCAATTTAGAACCCTCGCCGTTGAATGATTCCTTCAACGCAAGGGGGGGCCCAACCCTTATCGATCGAACCTGAACGACCTGCTTGTGCACATCACTAGATGATGCTGAAGATGATGTTGCTGCTGCTGCTGATGATGATGATGATGATGCTGCTGATGCTGTTGATGATGATGATGATGCTGCTGCTGCTGATGATGACGATGCTGCTGCTGACGATGATGCTGCTGATGATGATGCTGCTGCTGATGATTGTGCTGCTGATGATGACGATGCTGCTGCTGATGATGATGCTGATGATGCTGCTGCTGATGATGATGATGATGAGGAGGAGGAGGAGGAGGAAGAGGAGGAGGAGGAGGAGGAGGAGGGCAGGAGGGATGAGGAGAAGGAGGAGGAGGAGGAGGAAGAGGAGGAGGAGGAGGAGGAGGAGGAGGAGGAGGAGGAGGAGGAGGAGGAGGAGGAGGAGGAGGAGGAGGAGGAGAGCAGGAGGAGGAGGAGGAGGAGGAGGAGGAGGAGGAGGAGGAGGGAGGAGGAGGAGGAGGAGGAGGAGGAGGAGGAGGCGGCGCTTGACGGCTGCCCGAAGCAGCCCGCAGCACCTCTGGGGTCCGTGCGCCACTCTGGCCCGGGCCGGCCGCGCTCGCCGCCGCGAGGCGGGGCGCCCGTGGGGCGTCGCGCGCCTTCACGGGCCGGCCGCACCCGATCGTAGCTGCCTCGATGCGGCAGGTTCGTGTCGTGTCGACCGGCGGCGACCCCGCCAGCGGCGTCCAACGTCGCGGGCGACCCAGAATCGTTCGAGGTGGAACGATTTGGACGTTTCGGAAGCGGCCGATCGTTCAAGGTTGAACGATCCCCGCGGTGTCAGTAACCAACGCCTGGGTCATCACGACACGAACCTGCCGTGCGCCTGTTGTGACACGCAGCACGTAGCGTGCTCAAGACGTCCGCGTCAGTACGTTGCGTGTTGGCTCAGCGTGTCGGCCCATGTTTTGGCGAGCCTGTCGCGTCAGGCCCACGTTTTCAGTCTGTACGTGTTGAGCTCCGTACCAATACGCTACGTGTTGCGTGTTGCGTACGAGGCAGCTAGGCGTCACCCGATATCCCTGAAGGGTTGACGACCCTTCGCCAGTCTCGGCGGCGCGCCGAGAGGGGAAGAGAGAGGGGCAGGCTTGCTCAGAAGGCGGCGGGGCTCCGGAGGAGGCTCAGAAAGCTTACTCCAGACTTCGTAATAAAAGGGAGGGGGTCTGGACCCTCCAAGACAAGCTATTTCAGACCCCCCCCGTGGGAGAACCCTCCAAAACATCGTCCCTAGACCCCCCCAGGCCCTCCAAGATAGCCTGGAAGAGACCCCCCCGAAATGAGACCCCCCTCCCTTTCTTACGAAATCTGGAGTAGCAGAAGGCCAGATGTCTTCTGAGCCTTCTGAGCCTTCTGCGAATGCCCGCCCCCTCTTGCCTTTCCCCCCTGGTCGCGCCGCCGATGAGGGCTTGACGACTCTTCTGCAATCGAATCGCTCTCTGGGGGGGGGGGGGGGGGGGGGCAAAGCCAGGTAGTCTGGGCCGACGCGCGCCGACGTAGTTCGATGCTGATTTTTGGTGAGCCCAGGAAGTTCCAGAGGTGTCCATACAAAGGTCTGAGGTTTCCCAGAGAGTGCCTCGCCCTCGAGGACCTTCCAGGAGCTGCCATCTCTTCTCCGGCGGAGGGCGGCGGGAGGGCGGCGGAAGCCGGCGGGGCGGCTGCGCTGGCGGACGGCCGGCGGAGGGTGGCGGAAGTGAAGGAGACGCCCCCAAGAGAGGACAACATGCTTGGGTCCACGGCTTCCAGGAGGAGGAGGAGGAGGAGGAGGAAGGAGGAGGAGGAGGAGCAGGAGGAGGAGGAGCAGGAGGAGGAGGAGGAGGAGGAGGAGGAGGAGGAGGAGGGTTCGCTGGATGCTCCAGCGCGAGCGGAAGGGCAGGAGAGGGCGTCGGGCCCCTCAGCGGCAGCGGCGCCCATGGGCGCCTCCCCGCCGGCCCGCGCCGTGTGCAGCTGCTGCGTCCAGAGGGACCAGGGCGAGTAGCGCCGGGGGGGCGCCATCTGTCGCAGAGCGTGGGGTTCGTGCAGGGGGGGTTATCCCAAGGGGGGGGGGGTCAGGAAGGAACCCGGTTGGATATGCACGTTTCTTCTCTTCCAGGAGCCGTTGATCGCGGTGTTCCTCCCAGCCCTGCCTCTGCCCCTGCCCCACCTTCACGTCCCCCCCCCCCCCGACCAGGCTTCCTCGCGTCGGGGAGCAAAATGACGGCGGGAGTTCGACTTGCAACCTGCAGCCTGTGGGGGCTCTTGCCGAGCCCCAGGCTTCGTCGAAGACCAGCTCTCGAGCTGCGGAGCCCGTCCTAGGGGAACTGGTCCAGGCCTCTAGGGGTCCACGCTGCGAGCAAGTCACGACGTCGGAGGTCTGGGTGCACCGACACTCCCTGAGACCCGGGCGGCCCGCCGGCCCGGGCGTCGCAGCTTCTTCGCACAGGGACCTCTTCGCCCTGCTTCGGGTCCCGCAGCCTTCGGGTCCTGGGGCCGTCACGCCTCGATCCAGCCCGAGAGATGTCACAGAGAGCTGGGGTCTGTCTGAGGCTCCGCTCTCGATTGCTCGCGATGGTGCGTTTTTCTTTCGCGACGTCGGAGATCCGGGCTGGCCTGGCCCATCCCGGGCACGGGATCGGTGCACACGCCTTCAAAAACTTCCTGGTCAGGCCGGGGGGCCGCATCCACCGTTCCCGGGCCCAGGATGGGCCCAGCCAGGAATAGTGTGTGTGTGTGTGTGTGTGTGTGTGTGTGTGGGTGTGTTGTGTTGCGTTTGCGTTTGTGTGTGTGTGAGTGTGTGTGTTGATCCCCTTGTGGGACGTGTGTGAGTGTGTATCTGTGTGTGTGTGTGCCTGGTTTTCAGGCCAAACCCCTCGCCTGGAGGAGGTTTCGCACTGCACGGCCTCCGCCGCTCGCTGCCCCGGCAGCTTGCGCGGGCCACGCGGGCCCTCGGCACCCCACGGGACCGGGGCTCCCTGTTGCCTTCGCCTCCGTCACCAGTCCTGGGCTCTGGCTCCCCGCCCCGGCCCGCTGCCCCGCAGCCAGCCTCGGCGCCCCCCCGCTCCCTGGCGCCGCCCCCGCCGCGCGCCGTGGCCCCGCTCTGAGCGGGCCCGGCTTCCCCCTCCCCCCCCCGCCGCCGCCAGGCGCCTCCTCCCTCCCTCGGGGGCGGCAAAGAGGGGGGTGATGACTAGGGGGGGGTGGATATGGCCATGATGTTTCCCCAGATTTCATGGCGCCTCTTCTTATTTCGTTGCGTCCCTGGCCCCCCCGCTGGGCCGCGCACGTGCCGCCGGTCATGATTTGCACCCCCCCTCTTGGACACCCCCCTCTTGGCCGCTCCCGACTCCCCCCCGCCGCTGCCGGGCGCCTCCTCCCTCCCCCTCCTGCATGGTGCCTCAATTCGCGTTTCGTGCGCGCACCAACGCCCTATCGCCAGCGCGGTGACTCTGTCTAGCCGCCGACGGAAAACTGGCCGCCGACGGAAAAGTGTCTGTGTGTGTGTGTCTTTGTGTGTGTGTGTGTGTGTGTGTGTGTGTGTGAGGGGGGACGGCTGGCGCCCCTCGACATCAGGGGCCCTCCTGGATAGGTGGCGGGGCAGGTGCGCGGCAGGAGCTGGCCTCCTACGGCAGCAGCGGCAGGCGCCACTCCGCAGGCAGCGGCGGCGGCGGAGGCTGCCTGGCGGCGAGCGCCAGCGCGTCGGATGGGTGGGGTCTGAACACGGGGCTCTGCATCGTGTGCAAGCAGTCCAGCGCCAGCACCGCCTGCCTGCCGTGCGGGCACATACTGGTGTGCTACCCCTGCTCCATGAGGTACGACATGCCCAACGGCGCGGTCCACCCAGACACGAGGTGTCCTTGCTGCAAGACGCCGGTGCAGCAGTTCCACCGCGTCTTCACCCAAGCAAGATCCAGAGAGCAGCGATGAGTGCGGGGAGCTGAGGGCTGCGCAGATGAGTACATAGATCTTGTAGATTGTAGAGCAACCGTTTACCAGTGAAGGTGTTGGGATTGGGGAGGAGCGGGGTGGCGAGCGGAAGGGGTGGGCGGGCATCTTTGGTGCAAGACTGCTAAAAAGTGGTCGGACCACTGACCCCCTCCGAGTAGATCAATCATTTGTGTCCAAGTTGGTGATCTCGAAGAGTTGGGGCGGACCCAAAAAAGAAATTGGCTTCCGAAGGCGGTAATTACACATGCCAGTCGGCACACGTACACACAAACAGTACCCATTGCATGTTTGATGTAGACGGTACCGACAGCCCAAGTGCAAGCCACCCGAGAGCGTAAGGGAGCCCATTGCCAAGGTTTTCAAGGTTGTCAGGGTTCCTTGCATTGCCTTGCATTGTATTGGATTGCATTGTATGGGTTTGTTGTATACTGCATCGCTTTGAAGACCTTGGTATTGCACTGCACTGCAACGCGTCTGCGAAGCAAAGCAAGGTCATGCACAACTAGTGTCTGCACTAGGCCTTCTCATTCCTGCTGTGAGGAACCGACTGTTTTCTGGGCTCTCGCCCGGTGCCCGCCCAAGACCGCCTCGTGGCTGCCTCGTTTGCTGCTTGGGTTTTCCAGGCGTTGCCCGGTGCCCGCCCGAGGCCGTCTCGTGGCCGCCTCGCGTGCTGGTTGGGTTTTCTGGGCTTGAGTCCGCCTCGTGCGCGGGGTGGCGCTTCCGCATGCACGCATCGAATGCCTCACATCGCTCGCATCACATAGCTTGTACCGCACGGATCTCACGTCGTAGCCTGCAACTCGTCGATTGCATTGCACATGTAGTGCAGCACGCAGATTGCACAACACAGATTGTGTCACACGTATTGCCGTAAATAGACTGCATAAACTAACATACAACACGCAGCTTGCACCGCATAGGATGCACAGCATGATTTGTACCACACATATGACGCTATGACGCCCTTGGCTTGCACCACGCATATAATATATGGGATGCCATATGCTGCACCATGTATACTGCACCCTATAGCTTGTACCGCGAAGGCTTGCATCATATATCCTGCACCACACAGAGTGCACGACATATATGGCACTGGATACCATACACATTGCATCGTAGACATATTGCACCACACATGCTCCAAATCGAGAATGCACCCTTCGGGACTCTCGCTGGTAAGCATTTGGGCCAATGCTAAAACAAGGGGAGTAGCATTCAGCGGCGAAGTCATTTTAAATAGCTGGAATGCGCTGGGCTGCTCTGCGTTCCAACGCAAATTAACACATGAGTAACCAAGCGGAACATCACCGCAACATGTGACAGCACGTTCCTTCCGCCAGCGTGTTCGGGGGTTGTTCTAATCCTCGCAGCAAAGACATTGCATACCTCGGCAAGTCATGGCACATCACAGCTCACAATCGCAGACGAGAGCGCATCTACTCGCCCATCACGCCACGGCGCAGCAACGCATGGCACAGCCACCTCCCCACACTGGCCTGCTGGGCATGGCGTACGAGAGCCTCTACCATGTGACAGTTCTCTTCCCCTGAGCCTTGAGGGGGGTACCAAGTGACAGCTTTTCCCCCCTCCCCCCGGGCCCAAAGGGCGCAGCACGAGACAGCTCGCGTCGCCTGGGCCGAGAGTTGGACAACATGGGGTCACTTCGCTTCCCCTGCGCCTGGCAGGGATTAGCGTTCGACGGCCCAGCTGGCTTGGGATGAAGTCTACATGCTCAGACGATTCTAAGACGACGATGCAGATGAGGATGCAAACGAATATCGAGATGGAGATCAAGGCGACGTGTTCGCGGCGCCTTCGCGCCCTCCCTGCTCGCCCTCCTCGCCTGTCTCCCCCTCCTCCTGGCCCTCCTCCTACTCGCCCTCACTCCGCGTTATCATACCCCGTGTGCAGGCTACGAGCTGGGACACTCCCCAAGCAAAGAGTGTTTACCCTTGGCCAGGTCCTCCTCGAAGGACTGTCGAACAGCCACCCGCCCGCTCGTCGACCTGGAAGATGGGTCAGTGATCCCTCCTCCCTCGCCCACCTCTCCTCGCACTCCTCCCTATTCGCCTCTGGGTCGAAATGGCATCGTCCTCCTGCCTTCCTCGCCCCACGGGCTGATCCATTGCTGCTCCCGGATCGGATCGCGCTAGGTTCGTCTGAGGTTCTCGCGTTTCTTGATAGTTTGAACATTTCCAATCGTGTCTAGAGGTTTTCAGAGGCGTAGGGCGAAGGAGATGATGATGATGATGATGATGATGATGATGATGATGATGATGATGATGATGCTGATGATGATGATGATGATGCTGATGATGATGATGATGATGCTGCTGCTGCTGATGATGATGATGACGAGGGTGATGATGATGATGATGATGATGATGATGATGATGCTGCTGATGATGCTAATGATGATGATGATGATGATGATGATGATGATGATGATGATGATGATGATTCTGACGATGATGATGATAATGCTGCTGCTGATGATGATCATGATGATGCTGATGCTGATGGTGGTGACGGTGATGATAACGACGATGATGGTGGTGATGCTGATGATTCTTATGAGGACGGGGGTGATGGTGATGTCGGTAGTGATGGTGATGCTGACGTTGATGCGGTGGCTGCTGCCGCTGCTGTTGTCCAATATGTGTGATATTGATGATGGCGAGGATGAGGATACAGATGATTATGTGGATTATGATGATGCTGCTGCTGATGATGATGCCGATGATCGTGACGCTGACGCTGATGACGATGAGGATTGTCATACGGATGATGACGATGTTGATGATGATGATGATTCTGCTGAGGATGATGATGATGATGATGATGATGATGTTGATGATGATTATGAGCATGCTGATGACGATGCTGATGCTGATGCTGCTGATGATGATGGTCATGGTGATGATGATGCTCACGATGCTGATGATGATTGTATTTGTGATGCTGATGGTGGTGGCGTTGGGGATGATGATGATGATGATGATGATGATGATGATGATGATGATTATGATGGTGATGATGATGATGATGATGATGATGATGATGATGACGACGATGCTGATGATGATGATGATGATGATGATGATGATGATGATGATGACGATGATGATGATGATGATGATGAGGAGGAGGAGGAGGAGGAGGAGGAGGAGGAGGAGTAAGAGAAGGATGATGCTGTTGCTGATGATTATGACGACTATGACGATGATAAAGATGCTGATGATTATGATGATTCTGATGATGCAGATGATGACGATCATGCTTTTGACGATGATGATGAGATAGGACAGAGTGCGTTTTGTGGTCGCTTGGAGGGGGGGAGGGGGTGGAACTGGACCCCCCCCTGGATGGAGGGGGTGGGGGGGTTTCGAACCCCCCCCCCCCCCCCGGGGGGGGGGGTTTCGAACCCCTCCCACCCCCCCCTTTGGGGGGGTTCCTCCCCCCCCCCTTTCTCCCCTACTTCTCCTCTCTCCCTCTCCTCGGGCCAGCGCCTGCGTCGGCGGTGGCTGGCGGCGGCGGCGGCGGGGACGGCGATTTCCTTTTCTAGGCCAGCGCCGGCGCCTGCGGCGGCGGGCGGCGGCGGCGGGGAGCGTCGACGAGGACGACAGTGGTGGTAGTGGTGGTGGTGGTGGTTGTGGTTTGTGGTGGTGGTGGTGATGGTGGTGGTGGTGGTGTGGTGGTGGTGGTGTGGTGGTGGTTTGTGGTGGTGGTTTGTGGTGGTGGTGGTGGGTTGTGGGGGTGGTGTTGGTGTAGGTTTGGTGGTGGTGTGGTGGTGGTTTGTGGTGGTGGTGGTGGTGGGTTGTGGTGGTGGCGGTGGTTTGTGGAGGTGGTGCTGATGGTGGTGATGGTGGTGGCGGTGGTTTGTGGTGGTGTGGTGGTTTGTGGTGGTGGTGGTGGTGGTGGGTTGTGCTGCTGGTAGTGGTGGTGGTCGTGGCGGTGGTGGTGGTGGCGTGGTAGATTGTGGTGGTGGTGGCGGTAGTGGTGGTGGGTCTTTGTGGTTGTGGTAGTGGTGGTGAGTTGTGGTGGTGGTGGTTGTGGTGGTGGTGGTGGCTGAGATGATGGTGGTGGTGGTGGTTGTGTTGGTGGGTTGAGGTGGTGGTAGTGGTGGTAGTGGTGGCGGTGGTGGTAGTCGTGGTTATCGTCGCTGCGTCCCCACCGTCGCCGGCGACGGGGGGGTGTTTGAACCCCTCCCCCCCCGCCCCTCAGCGCCAAGGGGGTGGGAAGTGGTCTTGAACCCCCCCCCTGGTCTGCCTCTGGTCATCGTCGCTGCGTCCCCGCCGTCGGCGCTGCTGGCGGCCGCCAGCGCCGGCGCTGAGGGGGGTTTCAACCTCCCCCCCCTTGGGAGGGGGGGGATTTCGGGAAGGGGGAGGGTTGGGGGGGAGGGGGGTCCCCCTGGTTTTGATCGACGGCGCCGAGTGTTGGGGAAGGGGGCCCACCCCCAGGTTCGAAACGCGCCGCCGAATGTTCCCAAGGCAAGCGCCCGTGAAACGCGTTCTCTCTGAGATAGTGATGACGATGTTGATGGCGATGATGCTGATCATGATGATGATGATGATGATGATGGTGATGCTGATGACGCTGGTGACAATGCTGATGATGATGCTGCTGATGATGGTGGCGTTGGCGACGACGATGGCATTTGCGACGCTGATGGTGTTGATGATGATGACAATGCGGATATTACGATGATGATGATGACAATGCTGCTGGTGATTTTGATAACGCTGCTGATGCTGATGCTGCTGCTGCTGATGATGCTGAGGAATATGAACATGAACGAGGATGATGTTGATGGCGCTGCTGATGATGATGGTACTGAGGATCATGATGAGGATGCTGCTGATGATGATGACGGTGCTTATGAAGATGAGGATTCTGAGGATGATGAGGATGCGGATGCTGATACTGATGATGATGATGATGATGATGATGATGATGATGATGCTGATGCTGATGAGAATACCGATGATTACGAAGACGATGACGGTGATGATGGTGATGATGGTGACGATGATGATGGTGATACTAGTAATGATTGTGA